AGTGAAAATTCTCGAATGGGACGTAAAACAATATACAATCAATCAATCAATCCAATCAGTATAGCTACTGTAGTTCTCTAAAAATCTTAAATTACAAGTAAAAACAATAAATTAATCTAGTTCTGCTTTGAAAGTTTTCCAAAATCTCTGTTACATCTTATATAGTACTACATAGAGTATTATCCACCAAGTTCTGCTATACCAAATTTACGTATTATAAAACCGCCTTCGCCGGCCATGCTTGGATTCATGATGCGTATGCATTCAACATCACAGAGATGCTAACTCATAAATCAACTGGTCTATCAGTCAAGCGTTTCCGTGATTTCTTCCAGATCCTGTATATTAATCAATCATACATACACCAAAATCCGGATGAATTTACGTACGTTATTAAAAAAAATTATTAACTATATTCGTTGATAAAATTTCTCCGGATCGCACCGTTTTATGCGGGTCGTCCGGCAACGCCAAACAAAGCTTATTTTATTTTGGCCTTATCCATGCACACCTAGGTACTATATAAGCGAACATGACAAAGTCGATAAATTTTACTTGGCTTTTTTTAGGGGTGGGGGAGGGAGTAGGGGTGGTTCCAGCAATCAACAAACAAACAAAAAAACAAACCAAAACACCGAAAGCTAGCGCCGATAAAGGGTTGGTGTTGGGAGATTTGGCCGGGAAGGGGGAGGGGGAATAAATACCCAGGTCTTCAAACACTAACAGAAGGTAATTTTTTTTATATTTTTATGAACGGTCCATTTTTCTTTAGTTTTTTCGTTTTTATGCTACTTAAGTTTGACCCACTTTTCGAAAATTGGTAGTTTTTAAGAGAGAAGATAGGTCAGTTATATTCGCAATAAGCTGTGGCGGTTTTAAAAGCCCATGATTTGCAATTTCCATAATCACAGACCCAAGTCTGTATTTTAGTGTCGAAGGATCCAAATAAGGACTTCCCTTCACCTTTTCAAAATTACCATTTAGAAATTGTCTTTGGACATAGTAAAGTTTAAGTCCCATCACATTTACATTGCTACACTGTGGACTTGCAATGAAATATTGAAATAACGAACAGTATTCAACCGCAAAGTCCATTAAAACAGTACAATTCGGGAGCAAAGCAAACACGGACTTCCAAAAACATCAGAGGTGGGATCAGGTACCATGGAGGAGTGAGCATCCCCTGCCGACCGGTCACAACCTTGTCATGATCGGAAAATAACGGAAATATCCGTCGACAATTCAGTGTGTATATAATGGCCTAACAATTAGTTTGAAAACATCAGTCAGCATTTGACTTAATGATATATTGTATTTGCTGACAAGGTCATTGTATCGACCATAGAACTTACGAAATGATGACTTTAAACGAGACAGTTGATATTCTTGTTTCATCAACTTGTCAATAACTTACCTCGTTTTAGACATTGTTCATACGTAGAGTTTGTTCTTACGTAGAGCTTGTTTCTGATAGATATATACCCCGTATGCAGGTGAAAAGGGTATATTGCTGAATAAGTAAGGGAAGTTGACTATTAAAAAGTTAAACTCATCACGTTTATCATAAAGCTTTGTTGTAAGATTACCATATTGCTTATTCATCATGTTCATTGCACACAGATTCACACTTCTGCTTTCACTGAGAAAAAATCCATGAAATTTCTTATTTTATGCCCTCGTAATTGAAGATTCGGGGGCATATAGTTTTTGCCCTGTCCGTCCGTCTGTCTGTTTGTCCGCAAAAGCTTTAACCTTGCCCATAACTTTTGATTGATTGGAGCTATGGCTTTTAAATTTCATATGTGTATTTCTTGTGACAAGACCTTTCTTTGGGTACCATCGTTTTTTAACGTGGAGTTTGATCACTTTTGCAAAATTTTATGGGACTTTAACCTTGACCATAACTTTTGAACAGTTGGAGCTTGGGCTTTCAACCTTCACATGTGTATTTCTTATGACAAGACCTTTCTTTTGGGTACGAACACCTTTGACCCTTTGACCTTGGAGTTTGACCTACTGTTGAAAAAACTTTAACCTTCGACATAACTTTTGAACACTTTGTGCTAGGTAATTTATACTTTGCATTTATACTCCTTGTGACAAGACCTTTTTTTTAATACCAAAAACTTTGACTTTTTGACTTTGACCTTGGAGTTTGACCAACTTCAATTTTGAAAAATTTTAACCTATGCCATAACTTTTGAACAGCTAGTACTAAGGTTTTCATCATTTACATATGCATTCCTTGTGAGAAGACCTTTCTTTAGATACCAACAACTTTGACCCTTTGACCTTGGAGTTTGACCTACTGTTGAAAAAACTTTAACCTTGGCCATAACTTTTGAACAGTTGGTGTTAGGGCTTTCATACTTCACATGTATATTACTTGTGACAAGACCTTCCTTAGGCCAGCATTTTTTTTTTATTTTTAGGTTTACGAACACCAGAATGAAAAAGTCCCGTAGGAGGAGGAAATCAATTTTTTTTTGGTATAAATTATCGACTTCCGTACATTTATTTCTGCTTCTTTTTTGATACTCTCCTAACAGGCTCCTTGCCACTGGTCACACAATGGTTACAAATAGAAAGGTAGAACCTTAAATTGTTTATTTCGTCTGCCAGTTGGAGCCATGCAGTGATATAAATTTTGAGATGGTCAAAATACAAATTTTAAAAAAATCAATTTTTTTTAAACTCTTTTAATTTATGTATATCTTCATTTTTTTTTAAATTCATGTGTTACATGAATGTGTAGAAATTGTTTTAAAAAATATACTCAAGACCTTATTAAGTAAATTTTCCTATCATACAACAGACAGGGAGGGGGTGTGAAAATTTCTTCAATCAAGTGTAAAATAATTTTTCTGGCTGCCACATTCAACAACGATACTATATGCCTGTATATATTGGTATATACTTGTTTTCTTTAATAATTGAAATATTTCATTCCTTTAGGCTATTGTTTATTTCACCTTCAAATAGACTTCACCTCACCCATAGTTTTATTCAATACAACTGATGCATAAGCATTCCTTTTCTAAAGAATGTTGCATAGATTGTACGCTATAACAGAGACGTAAACAATGTCTCTGGCTATAGCTACCATGGGCAGTTTTTAGTATTAACTTACATGTATTTACTAATATGGACACATACTGTAAACCAACTATTATTCGCGTCAACTTTTATTCGCGATTCCATAGTCTGAAATCAATCCGCGACGATTAATTTTCGCGACTGAGGAAACATCTCTATAAATACAAAGCAAGATAAATGGTTCGCGGCGATTAATATTCGCGAGTTAAAGTAGGTCGCGAAACTCGCGAATATTTCTCGCACGCGAATAGAAGTTGGTTTACAGTAATAATCTCACAAACATGTCATTGTGCAACAAAGTCGTCAGCATTTTATTTGTCCTCTGAACGGGTGAAACGTTTTGAATGGCACACTTTTCGATGAATTTTACACTAAACCAAGCTATGATGCTGGTATGGACTATGCAGGTCTACCTTGTTTACCCGCCATGTTTATCTTAAACCGGATGTACGAGTTCGTTAATTTGAAATCTCGATCCTGATTCAAATTCAACATCGGGAAAGAAAAAAAAATCTGTTTTTCTCGATTTTATTTTTTTTTCCTGAAAATTAAAAAAACTCGAGCGGCGAGTTTGTAAACCTAAAAATAAAAAAAAGCTGGCCTTAGGATACCAACAATTTTGGCATTGTTTGACCTTCGAGTTTGACCTACTTTTAAAAAAATTAAACCTTGGTCATAACATTTGAACGTTTGGTTCTAGGGCTTTTACATTTCACGATCATGTGTATCACTTGTGACAAAATCTTCCCTTGGGTCATTTGACCTTGACGTTTTACTTTTTTTGAAAAAATTTAACTTTTCAACAGTTTGTACAATGGCTTTCATATTTTACAGATATTTTCCTGGAGACAAGACCTTTTTTTTGATACCAACATTTTTAATTTCTTGACCTGGAGTTTGACTTGCATTTGAGAAACTTTAACCTTCGCCATAAGCTGCCGTACGGGGGCATCAGTGTTTCACAAACACATCTTGTTGTTACAGAAAATTTCCTGATTAAGTTAAGAATAAACAAGATGCTATGGCCAAGTTTGGAAAAAATACTGTCCGGCTCATAACTAGAAAACTATTAGACGTAGAATCATCAAACTTTCCAAAAAATGTACAAAAATAGGTCAAACTCCAAGTTCAAGGTCAAAGGGTAAAAGTTGTTAGTATCTAAAGAAAGGTCTTGTCACAAAAAATGCGTATGTGAAGTATGAAAGACCTAACACCAACTGATCAAAAGTTATGGCCAAGGTTAAAGTTTTTCAAAAGTAGGTCAGACTCCAAAGTCAAGGACAAAATGTCAAAGTTGTTGGTATCTAAAGAAAGGTCTTCCCAGAGGAAATGCATATGTGAAGTATGAAAACCCTGGCATTAACTGTTCAAAAGTTATGGTCAAGGTTAAAATTTATCAAAATTTAAGTAGGTCAAACTGCAAGGTCAAATCCAAAGAAAGGTATTTTCACAAGGAGTACACATGTGAAGTATGAAAGACCTAGCACAAACTGTTCAAAAGTTATGGCAAAGGTTAAAGTTTTATCAACAGTAGGTCAAACATCAAAAGATGTTGGTACTCAAAGAAATGTCTTGTCACAAGAAATACACATGTGAAGTTTGAAAGCTTAAGCTCCAACTGTTCAAAAGTTATGGACAAGGTAAAAGTCTCATAAAATTTTGCAAAAGTGGGTCAAACTCCAAGATCAAGGTCAAATATGATGGTATCCAAAGATGGTCTTGTCACAAGGAATACACATGTGAAATATGAAAGCCATGGCTCCAACCAATCAAAAGTTATGGGGAAGGTTAAAGTTTTTGCGGACAAACAGACAGATAGATAGACAGACAGACGGACGGACAGGGCAAAAACTATATGCCCCCGAATCTTCGATTACGGGGGCATAAAAGGGTCATTCTACGAATAGAGGCCCAAATGGTGTCCCGTCATTTTAGTATGTGTTGAGCAATACCTGGTTAATGAAATTTTAAAAATAAGTCTGGAATATTGTAGAAGGAGATAATAAATATGCATACACACCATAAGGACACCCCTGAAAGCAATATTACTTCTTAAAAAAAAATTTCAACGTCATGGACTTGCTTTGAAATGCCATGTCCCAAACTACAAAATCGAATTTGTAATATTGAATATGCGTGTGTGAAAACTGAATTCTCTTTCAAAATTTAACCTGTCGAGATTACTAAGGTATAATAAAATATTCATTGTTGATTTTAAAAAAGATACGGGTTACTAAATTCTTTTTTTTAATAATTTATTGTTTGTAAAACGGTGTCCCTGATATTCTTGTCATTACCGAAACGGTGAGATAAAACTGCAAAATATAAGAGACAAGAAAGAAGAAGCTACGTGATTAAAAGTTTCAGAAACCGCCATCTTTGATACAAGGCATAACGTTCTCCTGTGGGTAAGTAAGCAGATATTACATTGTAAATGGTCTTACTTTCAAGCGTATGTTTATTCAGTGTCATTACCGAATGCTTGCTACAATAAAAGTACGATCACCTAGGAAAAATGCAATTGTTTAGAAAGAAATATAGATTGGTTTTGAATTGTGTTGTACATTATTTAACACCTTTTGGCAAGTAGCGCCCTCTATATTCTGTTTAACATTTCAAAATGTCATAACCGAAACGTGTCATTACCGAAACAAATCCCTTGAATCAAATCGTTTCGGTAATGACATCAGTGTTACGGTAATGACAAATCATCTTTAGATTGTCTTGTGCGTGGATTTTACAACACTATTATAGTGTTTTATGCATAAGAGGTTGTTACAAATAACTCCTATATGTGGGTCCAGTCCTGGGAGGTAGGCGAGACTAACCTACATCTAATACACAGTGTTTTGAACAATTGTTTTCAAATGCTGATGAATTACCTGTTTAAAAATTAATTTTGCTCAAGCCATGACTGTTTCTAAATAAATTTGGAAAATATAAGGCATGATAACTGGGGGAGGGGGTTGTATACCATTATAAAGCACGTGCTTCTTAATACAATTAAATGTTCAGATTGAAGTAAATTACTAACAAATTCCTTACAATTTTTAATTAGCATTGGCTGTCAAAACAAAATTATTAGATTCATATCCATGCTTTTATTAAAACCTGTTACTTTTTTATTTCTAGGAATGAAAAAAAGTAAACTTGATGAGAAAAACGTCTTTGCAATCGAAAATTTAGTGGTGATTTCTGAAAAAAGGCTTAAGGAGCTTCTACTCTTTCAATACACTGATAACTTACGTTTTGACTGGGCAAAATTAGTCGTTGATGCATATGAAAAATATGAACATTCAAAGGAACTTTTATTACTGATGAACAAGTGCTTAAAAAACCCTGAGCTATGGCACTCACTGCAAAAGAAAGATCAAAAAGATGGAGGGAAAAGCAGAAACAGGATCCAGAAAAACATACAAAATACTTGGAGAAAGAAAAGCAAAGGTATCAAGAGAGGAAAAAAGTCGGCAAACTGAAAAATGTAGAAGAGTTATCAGAGAGAGATCAGCGATCAGTAAGAAAACAATGGAGAAAAAATCAACGAAACAAAAGAAAAAAGGATAAGGAGACTAAAATTCTCCTTTCAACTAATACACCTCCGAATTCACCAAGTCAAGATCTGTCACGCGAACAGCTTCCTTAGGACGGAAGAACATCTAGAGGTAGAAAGAAAATCAGGAAAGATAGATCGAAAGCATACAGAGAAATTGGTAAACTACGAATCAAACTTGCACAGAAGGAAAAAGATGTTGCCCGATATAAAAAAAAAGACTCTACAGAGAAAAAGTGAAAAACAGAAATTTGGATTCTCCAAGAACTAAAACGAACACTCTTATCAGAGGACAAAACGTGTCGGAGGAAGTAAAGCGTACTTTGCATTTTCACCACAGCCTGGTCAAAGGTATTAGAGAAAAGTACAGATTGGCTGCTGAAAGGAAGAGTAAAGAGAATTTTGTCAATGTTCTGACATCAAGGTTATTACGAAAATACCGACTTAAGAAGTATGCAGCCAAAGCATTTGGATTCTCAAGGAAGAGAAATTTAGATCACAAAGGGAATATGGAAACACGGAAGGGCTTATTCAAAAGAAACAGATCAAGCATAGATGAAATACAGAGATCAGTCAGATCTTTCCTTCAGCGCGACGATAACAGCAGGATAGCACCAGGAAAGAAAGACACAATAACTCGGAACAAAGTAAAGAGACAGAAGCGTTTTTTGAATGACGATTTGAGAAATCTCCATGACAAATTTCTGTCTGAATTTCCAAACTTGAAGTTGTCGTACTCGTTGTTCTGTAGGTTCCGACCATTTTGGGTGCTCAAAGCAACAGAGAAGGATCGCCAAACATGTTTATGTATAAAACACGAAAATCTGCAATATCAAGTTGATAAACTCAAAGGCCTTGGTCTTATTTCTTCAACAAATTTCAATTCCCTCGCTGCAGAGATATGTTGTGACACCGGGAGCAAAGCTTGTATGTATAGAGAATGTCCGCAGTGTGAAGACAAACAAGTTATTATATCAGACAGGGATCTTGGAAAACAGGTCACATGGAAAAAATGGGTCAGCCGAAGGGTTGAAAAAGTCAAGAGAGTTCAAGGAGAGGATATAAAGTATGTCACATCCTTGACAATGCGGGAAGATGAGAGTGGGAGTGCTATGTCACTTGTTGAGGAATTCCAAGAAAATCTAAAGAAGATTTGTCGCCATTTCTTCAATATTAAACATCAGTACATCGCTCTTAGAACTTTGCGACAAAGTATGACAGAAAACGAAGTAATGATTCATATCGACTTTTCAGAAAACTACCAGTGCAAATATGACAGAGAAATCCAAAGTGTGCATTTTGGTGCTAACCAAAACCAGATCACTCTACATACAGGTGTGTTTTATTACAAAGACACATCCACGGGATTCTGTACCATTTCTGATTTTAACAAGCATGGACCCCCAGCTATCTGGGCCAACTTAAAACCAATTCTGTCCTTGCTGCGAAGTACATATCCAGACATAAGCACTGTGTATTTTGTAAGCGATGGACCCACAACCCAATATAGATGCAAGGCAAATTTTTATTTGCTTTCAACTTTGCTCTTTGACTGGGGTTTCAAAGTAGGTAACTGGTCTTTCTTAGAAGCTGGCCACGGGAAAGGCCCTGCAGATGGTATTGGTGGATCGGTGAAGCGGGCAGCAGACGCCTTTGTCTCTAAAGGTGGAAGTATAAATAATGCAAAGTCAATGAAGACTGCATTGCAGCAAAAAGACTCGACTATTCAATATTATTTAGTTAGTGAAGCAGATGTTGAGGAGATCCATAGAATAATACCATCAGACCTGGACTATGTTCCGCAGACCATGAAGCTACATCAGGTATCAGTATATTTGTAGTTTTATTGAATTCAAGTCATTGTATTAAAATATTGACCATTTATTTAGAAACTATCTTCTATTCATTCTCATTCACAGGTTTATTCAGAGGAGAGACACAAGTTAAGGGTGAGGGTACTCAGTTGCTTTTGTGCAAAGCCGAAGTCGTGCGAGTGTTTCCAGCCTTCAGCTTTTACCTTCACTTCGGTATCAGCTCGTGTGAGTTCTCCGGATGTAGATCCTCCCACTGAATCCAATCCCTCTTCGGCTGATACAGACTGGATTGGAAAGTGGTGTGTCGTTCTGTACGATGACGTGCCGTACCCTGGAATCGTCCAGGATGTGGACGATGAAGACTTCGAGGTTAAAGTCATGCACAAGATCGGTCAAAACCGATATTTTTGGCCCCTTCTGCCAGATATCCTTTGGTATGAACATAACAAAGTTGTTTGCAAAATACAAGAGCCTTCTCCGGTGGGTAGTAGGCACTTCCAATTATCAAAAACCGATTATGAACACTTGCTCCAGTTATTACAGTAAATGTAACTGTGATCATTTGGTGCGTATTTTTGCAACGGTGAACAATTTGAAATGTTTGTTTTTTTTTTTTTTGGTAGCCTTTCTGGTTGAAAAAAAAAATGATTGTGTTTTTTCTAGTTAAATTGATAATAAAGTTCATTCTTGCTTTATACCACATTGGGTTTTTTGAAGGATAAGATACAAAAAATTTATAGAATAAGTTATGAAAATATTCGATCGAAACAACTCGAAACTATTTACCGGAACGCACTGTCACTACCGCAACACATTGTCATTACCATAACGAGGAGAAAATAGGTCAATTAATTATCAATTAATCTAATAATAAATGTAATAAAGTGTTTAATCAACATGCATGAGTCCGTGAAATCTCACACCGTAGAAAAATGGAAGTAAAATAATCATATACACTCCTCAAGTGGTTTATTGACCAATGGTTTTTTTGAATTTTTTAAAAACGTAAATTTAACACCACAGTACGAAAAATAATGTGCGAATATTTCACTCAAATAATCATGAAGGTAAGATATTACTAAGATTTATTACTTCAAACTATGAAAAAATTGGTTTGATACTGTAACAATATTTTATGACGATTTAGTCGTCTGTTGCGGTAATGACAATTTTTTTTTCATGTATGTATGTGCAAGTCTCAAAATAAGCAATAAAATATTTTAAACATTGCTGCTGCATGTTGAAATGGTTTCCTCCAAGTTAGATTTAGTAAATAACGCAGAAAAAAATAGAATAAAATAGGGTATATGAATTCTGACTTTTAGAAAGTTCGTTTGGGCCTCTATCCGTAGAATGACCCAAAAAGGGGAAACTTGACATTTTTTTTCAGGAGAAAGGATAGTTTACAGTTAATTAACACCATTGATAAATCCATGTGGACTATTGTTGGGTTTTAGACATGTTCCTTGTGACTGCAAAATGCACGACATCTTCAAGAGAAAGTAGTCCTATCATGTATTTGAAAGAAATTATTAAACTATGAGCTTCTAACTAAAAAAGAGTAACATTAACATTGTACTTGAAGTTTTTTAAACGCTTTCTCTAACTTTCTTATGATTTGAAAATGGTTCATAAATATACACAAGTTCGTTATTCCCCACTGCTGTGCAGATATGCATTGGGCGCTTTCGCCAAATAATGCTCGGTTTTGACAAGTTATTAGCACTTGAAAACACTTCTTTTATGGTTGCACTTTCAGAAGTAAAAAAATAATAATAATAAAGAACAATAACATACGTTTTCAACGAAGGAAGCTGTAAATGACATGTAACTTGCATCATGTCAACATCCCGTTTCTAGAGCAGTGCGTTATCCACAACTTGTACTGTATTGAATTCGGATAATTTTCTCTCACTTTATGAAAAATATATGAGAACAAAACAATATTTATATTATTTATCAAAACACACTGAATTAGTTTCGTTGAATTTTTAAGATTTTTTTGTAAATTTAAGTTGAAAGAACGACTACTCCCTCGATAAACTGGTTTCCTGCCCCGTGATCTTGACGCTAATGGACGAGTTCACCATGTTAAAATCCTCGTAGGCTTTGAATTTGCCGCCGTGTCAATACACTGGTTGAACTCGAGGGTTCGTATAAATGCAGGAAGTTTGAAAAAAAAATGATCTATCGATCGGGCCTAGGTTTAAGGCCAAGGTATTTATATATTTTGAGAATTGAAATATTATATTCTAAAATCATCTATGATATGCAACAGGTGTACTTTTCAAACCAAGTAATTTCATATGCACTACATGAAAAGAGGATGGGTAATGCAAAACAATTATTTAACTCTAAGGCAATGTTAAAAGGTCGTGATTTTGAGATATATCGTTTAACTTTATTTTGTGATGAATGAACTTGGAGTATTACTAAAATTCATGGCCGTAGGAACCGGGGGGGGGGGGGCACGAGGGGGGCCGTGCCCCCCCCCCCAATAATTTTGCCGATATAAAGAATACTATAGAAAACATAGCTACTATACGCTTGTGCCCCCTCAATAAAAACGTCTGATGACCTTTTTTTTTTTTTTTTTCCTATTTTGCTTGTCAAGATTTTTTGATAGTCTATAGTGCCCCCTCAACTGAAAATGTATGGCTGTGCCCCCCCCCCCCCCAAACTGAAATTGCTTCCTACGGGCCTGTAAAATAATTAAAAGAAAAACCCGAATTAACACTTTTGCCAAATCTTGATCACGGTCGTCATTTGCTACATGTAGGAAAAATTCACTATTTTGCTCATTACCTTTGATTTTCAACACCATGGATCCGACCAAGGTTAGGTTTAAATATCAGGTAAGAAAGCTGAAATGGGGTATAAATGTTTGGTAAATGAAAACAATTTTTTGTTTTTATTTTTTTTTTTTATTATTGTTAACCTTGCATATACCAGGACAGAATTACACAATTTTGTTTAAAAATTTACAGCATGTGTCAATAAAAACGCTAAAACAGAGTCATTGAATATATTTATTTGTGTGTATGTATGTTTTTTAACGTCCCTCTCGAGAATTTTTCACTCGTATGGAGACACCACCACTTGCCGGTGGAGAGCTGTAAACTTTGTCCTATACTCGGCACTTACGGCCATTGAGCAGCGAGGGATCTTTTTCGTGCCAGCACCTACTGCGACACGGGACCTCGGTTTATACGGTCTCATCCGAAGGACCGGTCTCAACGTCCCACAGTGGGATTCGAACGCGCGACGGAAGGATCAACTCATTACTTCGCGACTCTAGAGCAGACGCTCTAACCACTGCGCCACGCGGGCGACAAATGAATATATTTAAGTGTTCATCTTGATTAATGAAAATAATATATATCAAATTGCCAATAAGTTTTTGATTGAAAAAATTGTTAGACAAAAAAAAATGTTTGGAGAAGAAATTTTTAGGGAAACATAAGTAGAAAAAGACTAAATCTGAACTCTGAGACATTCGTTTTGTTGCCTTTAGGGCAAAGCTCTATGGCAAAAGTGACTTAATACATGTACCTTGCAATCACGCCTTAAAAGGTATCAGAACAACATGTTTTAAGCGATAAAAAATTATTCATTAGCAAAAATTTGTTAATTATTGTCGATAATCTTGTTATATATCAATATTTATATTATTTATAATCACACATCAATATCATATGCGTAATCACTGCCTTTACAGACAAGCGAGTGTTCGAGTGTCTGCTTTAGAGTCGCGAAGTAAGGAGCTGATCCTTACGTCGCGGGTTCGAATCCACTGCGGAACGTGGAGATCCGTCCTTCGGATGAGACCGTATAAACCGAGGTCCCGTATCGCAGTAGGTGTTGGCACGAAAAAGATCCCTCACTGCTCAATGACCCTGAGTGCCGAGTGTAGGTATAAATTTGCAGCTCTCCACTGGTAAGTGGTGGCGTCTCCATTTGATTGAAAAATTCTCGAGAGGGACGTTAAACATTCAAACAAACAACCGAACTGTGTCGTACTACCAAGAATTCCATATTAATGGAACAATTTCACATAATATGAATCTCATTTTTTGCATAAGAATTGTTGGCTTTGAAATATGAGAGACAACTTTTTCGAAAATAAATCACAAGATTACCGCGATGAACTAACAGCGACGATACAAAAAAATGTATCACACTCGCTGGCACGATATAACGTAGTGTGTTTTAACATAAACATGATTTCATCAAAACTAAACTATACCCTTTGTCACGAGGAGATTTTGTTTAAAGCAATTTAAGCGTATGATTCCTGTGCATGAAATTCCTTAAAAATTCTTTGCTATATAAAATTTATTTCGTGGTCATTATCATCATAACGTGTCCTATACGAGCTACCCTAAGTTTCTGTAATCATGCTTTTAAGTAAAAAATAATGACATAAAGCAACAAAATACTCAATATACATTTAAAATATTTTGCATCTCCTAGCTTCCTTGATAAATGTTCATAATCGTTTTTTACCTCAAGGAGTGGGTGTGGAGGAACACAAGTTATGAGGCAGTAAAGGAGTCGCCAAGCTTCCTGAAATACCCCCAATTTGATTATAGTCAGATTAAAGCAGCTATCGTGTGTTTTGGTAATTTTATTATAATGCTTCTCAAGAACTATTCTTGCGTCACTCTATTGAATTAATAGCGTGACTTTCTCTTGAATCTCCTGGAAAAATACAATATTTCCTCTTCATTGCTATCGTAAATTTAGACAATCTTGCTATAACATGCTGCCTTGCACACTTTCTCTCCCATCTGGCTCAATTAATTAATCTTCCCAGAACCATATCGTTGGATTAAGTGAAAGTGAATTGCTAATAATCACAACATTCACAAGAATGATTGGATTTCGTGTTTTGTTGTGTAAAGACTGCCAGTTCAGGGCCTCGCAGAAAGTCAGCCAAATGACCGACACAGATGTAGATCTCAGACCCATGATACACCTTATCCATTTTTTTCCGACTTCGGAAACGTGAATCATTTGGATTTTATATTTTTAATTGTGTTGAAAATGGAAGGAGCACATTTTACCATAAATGGCATCAATTCAAAACATGTCATCCCGGAAGCCTTTGTGAGTATGCTTGATTTTTATCTAGCGGTAAAAAAACAAAGGAAAACAAAAATCATATCTTTAATCTTTCTTACACTGCAATTTTTAAGTAAAAGATTCATAGTTGTATATAGCTGTATGTAATTAAACTAAATTATATAAAGTAGGCTATATAATTTAACGAAATTAATTTCCTTTTTCTTCTTCTTCATAAATCAAATTAAAATAACACGAAAATCAAATCCGAAGAAAAATCGCTTATTGACATAATTAATACACTATTGTGAGGGAATAGTTTTAGGTTATTTCTCTTCTTGGGTTATAAAATATTGGTTAGATCATATAAAAGCATGTTGCTATATTACAACATAGAATCAAGAATCCTTAGAATTAAAATAAGAAGATGGGATACCATATTTAGCATAATTCATTTGCAGACACATTCCCCTTTGAACATGACTTGACATTTAAACAACATTAACATGTTTGTAAATTTTGAATTTACTGGGTAGAGGTAAATATAAAATCAATTATCGTGTCAATTTTGTATTTACCTCCACCCAGTAATTTCAAAATTGACAACATGCATGATGGCATTATGATAATTTGAATTGACATTAAACATATCAAACGAATAAAAAATGTATTTTTCTTTATTTTTAATTAAATGAAACTCATTGTTACCCGTTTTCCACAACTTTTTGGAAGATTACACGTATTTGCGTTTTTAAAATTTATTTTCTGAATAGATATCATTGCTCTTTAAGTGAAAAATTTTATGCGTTGACAAATATAAAATATACATCGTGTTTTGTTCTTCGAACTAATGCGAAACGATCGTTACCATTTTCAGGAGTACGAAAGTTATACTTTTAGAAGTTCATATTCCGGTTAGCAAGACGTAGGAAGGTTGAAAGTTTACATGTATGAGTGAACCCTAATAGTCAGAAATACCTACAGAGAACTAGTTTATTTTTCTTAACATGAACTGCTTTCTCCTGAGCTCTATTCATAACAATGGAGTATTTAGACAATTCATCACGGCATTCTGTCAATATTTTCGGTACCGTACTGAATAGCAAACAAAATTCTAATAAGGAACGTCATTTCTC